AAAAAAAATAAGATCAGCAACGATGCCAAAAGACTTCTAAAGGTTCTGATTGCTGCTGTGACGACATTCTTCAGGTCGGTCTTTGACCATCAGAACAAGGATCAAGCACCCATAAAAACCATCAGACCATCAAATACCAAGCAACCTGCAAAGGCTCGTAGTAGCAGACGTACTGTTGGGGTATACATTAGCTGAGCCTTGTCAATTGTTAACTAGCTTATGTACCCCTTTGCGCCAGCCAGATAGCAGGGAGCATCGTCAACCTGTCACAGCTGTGATCTCAAATGACCAGCTCCCAACTAACTACTAGCTCCCTGTAAAGATCCCAATCGAATGTTCATAACTCTCCTTTTGACTGCCTGAAAGCCTCCAGTTGAGTGATGAAACGAACGACCGTTGTCAGTCCAGGGCACGTGTTGAGCATCATAGAAAGAGATTGCATAGAAACCCTTGAACACACAATCATAACCTTGCTGAGTAAGTTTTATAAAAAGAACTAACACTGACCAAAGAGAGCCAGTCAGACCAGAAGGAACCAAAAAGAGTATAGAGAAAAGAGAGAGAAAAAGGGATAAAGACAAATTTCCCTCTTTTTATACCCTTTTCTTAATTATGTGAGGTTATTGTTTTCTATCTTATCGATAATCATTGTTTGAACAAGGTTTTGCTCCTTACAAGAAAATATGGCTTACGCTCACACTTTTGTTTATTTTTTAAGTGTTTCATGACTTTTAAAGTTTGGCCTATCTTTTTTATACTTTTTATATCCATTCATGCTGACACTTGTATATATATTTTAATGGGATTGTTCACCTCGATTTTTATATAGTAAAAAGATTAAAAGGCGATAAATTTCATACATGCTTTGTTTATACCACGCGTCTTTGGGCTTATTTCCTAATCTTGGTCACACACATTATTTGTGTTACTCTGTCAAACCCCCTTTTTTTTTTCTCTTTGACTTTTTGCTAGTAAAGACTAGATAAATACTATTTTGTAGTAGCTGTTATATGAAGTAATAAGCTTATGTAAAGAAATGAAGCAAGTTTTGCATAAATCAAAAGAACGCCACACCGAAAATGGTAATTACAAATAATAGATGCGTTCCGAAACCCTATGAACCCATGAAAAAACAAAAACCCCATTTTGAACAAGTCTAAATTCAGGCATCAGGGGAAGATCAGAGCATACGCTGTGCGCTCTCAAATAGGTCATGGCAGATGAAGCCATGATCTCGAGATGCTCTAAATATCGTAATACACATTGCTATCTGTGGTTCATCCGTTCTCGTACCTATCATCATGACGTCTCTAAATCTATTAATAAGCATCATGTTTATATACAGTTCATCGTATGGACCTCACAAGGAACATAGCATTCTTTGACGTTTTGCAGGCTCGCATCGCCTAATGAGGTAGATGATCGCAATGACAGTATCTTATTCATCCCTTCTTTCCCTGGTGATGTATTATTCTGCAAATATCAGCAGTGTTTGATTGCTGAAAGTGGATGAAATGATTGATTCTGTTTATTTTTAGGAATTTGTGCTCACTACATTAATGCTTATTCAGCACTTACAAGAACTTCATCGGCTCAGTCACCATCTGAACATTTGTAGTAGAGGTTTCAATGCAAAGGTCAACTATGATAAGATACAGTCGCTATCTCTATTTGATCATGATCACTCAGCGTATTGGCGCGATGCACTCAGCGAAATGAATATTCCGCCTATACACCTACCCTCTAGTCCGGATCCAGTTAATTATCTTGACTTTCTCCTCTTTCAGTCTCGACTCCGGCGTTAGTCTTTTAATTTGATCACTTACACTTAAAGATGTAGTTTCCTTCCTTGTATAAGTTCAAGTAAGATATGAATACACGCTTAGTTTCTTCCTTTCCTCCTTCATCATGAACCTTTCCAGTGAAACATTTAATCATTAAATGTTAAAAGCCCATTGAAGACGTGAGCATGTAACTGAAGTTCAAGTTACTTTTGATAAGTGTAAGTATCTTTCCTGTTTTAAACCTTTAATCAGCTTTATACTTGCAACTAACGCTCAACTGTTAATTTTCAAAGTCAAGGTTAATGTTCAATTGACTGATTGTTCGTTTTCTTTCCCTGTTTCTGAATGCCAACAGCCCTGCGTAAATATCGTCACCTTGGGATCGCACTAGAAGACATGTAATACAACAGTGAAAGTCGCTGCTTATAAATCTCGTAGCGAAAATGAGAAAGGAAAGAGACCTTTTATAGAGGAGCCAGGGACAATGACATCACGCCACAAGGCGCCGCAAGAGCTTACTATCAAACTCTTTCTCTTGATTGTGAGCCAGTAGAATTTCACTTGAGCAATGATGAGGGCAGTGAGGTGATATCAGTTCCCGTTTTAGTCCACATAAGTACAGTAAAGTCTCTTGCTAAAAAAAATGCAGTTCAATCTGAACACGATATCAGCTGCATTAAATTGTACCGAACGGCTACATGAAGAAGTAAAACCAATACAGCTTGCCCAAACAAACACAGCGACAGTATTTAGCTCGCCAGTAACAATTAGCAAGTTTTTGCGCGTGTCCTCCCTGCCTGGTTTGATCGACCACTTTGAATATTAACAGCCAACGGAAAGTTTGTTAAAAGAGCTAACCAATGATTTTCGGTTTACGCCCTCACTGCTCCATGCTGGCGCATTCGTTGTTGCCAACGACGAAGTCCTTGTGCTTCTCGCTTGTAAAGTCTATGGAGGGTTCAAATCTGCTGATATCCATAACGATAATCCAATGAAGTCGACACCGTCCTTCTGTGAGAAAATATTTGTTGAGATATACGAAGAGTTCGACGGAGTAGAGATAAAGAAGATGTTGAAAATTGGTGCCAAGTATATGGACATATTGGTCACAATGTCGACTGGTTTGACGAGTAATGGTCATGAAATGAATATCGGACCAGCAACTTCAATATTTTATATGTAGCAGAAAATATTGAACGATTTAAAGAAACGATGGCGCAAGGAGCTGAATATTGTCCGCCTCAAGACTTAAATGCACTGTGCCAACTGGTGTCCGGTTTCGGTGACCTAAGCACTTATTAATTATTGTGTGCATCGACAGAATACCTTCTGCCTATTCACGAGACGTTGTTGCCTTCAACAATTTTCACTCTTTGCGATCTGCTACACAACGGCAATTATGGTGTGTCCAACACAGTTGCTACGAAAATTGAGTCACGCTTCTTAAGCGTTCTGGCAGCATCAGGCTAAAAAACGACTTTAAGATATCGCGGAAAAGACTTCAAGCATCACTGCAGATATACCGTGGGCAGTCCTTTGACAAAAAAACCAAGTAATAGAAGGCTGCGCACGACTTCGCAAAGAATTTGGAACAACAGTTGAAAGCAAATGAGGACATAATTGATATGCTACAATTTGCGGAAAGGAATATGGGCTCTCTGGTAACTATTATAGGGCAAGCGCTGAATCACGCAAACAATAGGATTGCTGAGGTATAGGTTGTAGATTTTTGTTGTTGTTAGTACTCGCAAAGATGTGTAAGAATAAAAGCAAAGAAGTGACGAGTCTCTGTTTTATCTTTTATTAAAAGTGAGAGGGAGGAACTCATAGCAAAAAAAAAAAACAACAAAACTAGGTTGTTTTTAAAAGAAATCAAAGTATTAATTAAGGTACATGTAATTAAATCAAATATAATATCACACGTAAAGATTAATATTAGGCATGGTCAAATGCGACAGTTATCTCACATGTGAAGGCACATTTATCAAAAAAGTTTGGTTATCGTACCACAGTGTTTCGGTAGGTAATAATAAAATCACACTTGTTTGCTACCCCTTTGTTGTTACTAAGTGAGAATTATATAGGAAGAATGCACTGATCAGCTATCCTCTCAGTAGTCTTAATAGTATTTTAAACTGGTGAAAAACAACTCTGTGAACTCGAATTTATAGCTTGAGTTTTTCGTCTTCTTGCATAAAACGATTTATCACTTTACACTATTTAGGGTTCGTTCTATCAAAAGTCACAATAGACCAACTATCTACCAAACAGTATTTCATCAGTGCCATAATTTGGAATTTGTCACAGAGCAATATCTACTTTTAATTAATATTGAATAAGTGGCCGCAATCAGTACGAATATTATTGAATTCGGGAGTCGTTGGAGTCGTTGAAGTCATTTTTGGTAGTTTACTTGATTTCTCGGTGATGATCACGAGGATTCTGCCTCGATCTCTTCCACAAAAGGGGTCCCGGTACATGCATTCTTCTATAGCTTTCTCTCTGCTTTCTCCTAGAAGTCTCATGTTTAAAAACTGCTGTGTTCTCTACTTGAGTTTCGTGGAAAGAGCTATTGAATCAAATTTGAATCAAAGGGGTGTCGTGTTTACTGAGTTCTCCTTGAGTTTCCAAGTATTTGAGGCCAACTGATAGACGATGGATTTAAGCTGTATAGACTCTAGCGCCTTGATCTTGAGCCTTTGTAGTTGTCAATTCAAAACTAGACAGTTACTAGGATTGCTCGTATGCTCTTTGTAAAACGATGCTGACATCTTCTCTATGTATTTCATGGTGATGACTGTTAAATTAACTCAGTTGCTCGAAACGTTTTACTGTCATTCATGCTTGTATTCTTGTGTTATCTGTGACCCTGTATACTAACGACCTGTGTTCTGTCCACATTATGCCTCTGAGCTCTGACATAAGAGGTTTATCGGCTATTTGTGAGGCAATCCACTCATTTTGCACGTATCTGTGTTTTTTTTTTTTTTTTTTTTTTTTTTTTTTTTGAACTGCTTAATGCTATCTTGTATTTGACTGATACTAGTGTTCCCCGGTTCAGCGAAGCTTTCTGTTTTGATTCTACGTCGTACGTATTCTCCTTCTTCTGTTGTCGTTTCTCAAGTCCAACAAAGGTTTCCATTTTTAAGTCTGTGCCGTGTCTATTATCCTTTTCCTGTTATTGTTTCTCAAGTCCAACAAAGATTTCCATTTTTAAGTCTGCGCCGTGTCTATTCTCGTCCACCTGTTGTTGTTTACAGAATTCGAGTCTGCATTGAATTCTATAAACAGTTGGTCAACTTATTCCTTTGCGTCCATTGGCTAGCTTTGTTGGCGTTCGGCTGCTGCATAATTGCTTATAATTCATACTTGTCCATTAATGTACGACCCTGAAGTTTATTTTTACTTATTCATAACAGAATAAAGCGTGAGAGAAGTCTGTACTAAATTGGAAGCTTTAGATACACCAAACAACCAAGAAAGCAGAATGGTGGCATCCTCAAGGTAAGAGGGAGAATTGGTTTTGTCAGTAGTGTAAATGGGGCATCTGTGTATGCCTTCTTCAGATAATTACTACTCGCCATATAAAAGTAAAGTATCATCTTTTCAAGCAAAAGTGAAATAATGTGTAAACTCCTTTCTGCTTGAATCATGAGCTCCTGTGTAAATATTTGAGAATTAAAGCCCTGGCGCCTTATACAAACAATACTGCTTTATTTGTTTGATTTCTTTCCGTCATTAATTAAACTCTTTGACGATAGCCTAGTCGTACGTTTTATACTTTAATGCCAGCCTATTTCTTTGAATCATCCCTTTTTTGATTTTCCGATCAACGCTATATTGTTACACTCGATCGATTTGAGCAAAGCAGGCTAGTGAATTCTAGAATCGCTCAAAATAAACAAACTTTGTGCTTGTAAGGAGGCTTACTTTCTAAGATGCCCTTTTTGAAAATGCGTTTTGATTGCAAGGATTTGACTCAACTCTATTTAATATAAATAGAGAACATTTTCATCAATGAACCAAACATTAGTTTTTTTCGATTATAACAAACACTCATCATGGTTATTCCTAGTATCAAGCATATGCCTTCCGGACAGAGAAGGGTATTGAAGAATGGCCAACCCTTCTTAATTTATATCGAAAGGGCTAGTGATAACAGAAAGTACCACTTGGTTGATTGGGAAGGCAACGACTATGGTTATTTCAAGCCTGAGAAGTCACGACATCCTGCCGTGTTTGCTTTCTATAACCCTAACTATAAACAAGGGGAGACATTCACATCTACAACCTGGGGTGATGCAAACATACGCGAAATTCATAATAGTCAATTCCTCAATACTTATCAAAGAAAAGGGCAAAAGTACTACTGGGCAAGAAGTGGCGATAATAACGTTCAAGGTGTAAAAACTTTGGCGTATAGTGAAGCAGATAAAGGTTACAGATTGAGGGCAGATATATCTGGCAAAGGTGACGCTTGGATATCGGAAGAAGAAGTGACCGGAAGCATTAGGTTTATGGATAGCGAAAATGACAGAGCAATAATGTATTTTGTTACATTCTCTGACAATGAAAATGATCCTAGGGAGCCAAACGGAAATTACAGAGTTATGACAAAGGCTGAATTAAGCAGATAAGAGAAGGAAAATATATCTAAAATATGTATAAAAAGTATATAAAAAATACAAAAAAAAAGAGAAAAAAAACTATAAAAATACAAAAAAAAGCCCATTGCTTAAACAAAGGAGGAAGGGAAGGCAAGATGACAAAACTGATAAAAAAAGAGAAAATATAAAAATACAAAAAAAAAAAGTTTGCTTTGTATCAAGTGATATGTACTCAATATATCGCATTTGTCAACTACAACGTTCATAACAACTACTTGGCTAACCATGGTATACAAACAAGGAACTACTGGCTAAAGTCAAGAATTGAATAACTCTGCCTTGGGTCAAGAACTGTTGCAATAAAGGAAATATGGATGAAGCAACAGAGTACATACAGAAGACCACTGGTGTGTGGATCATTTAACCAGATGTTCCATAGTAACTGCAGTTCAAGATATTGTGATGTGGATCCAAAGGGTCTTTGGCTACTATACTCATTTTGTGCTTCATACATTTTGTTTATGCTCAATAAAACATTATTTCCTTTACGAGACCCATAAAACCTACTGTTGTATTTAGCTTGTTATTTGATTATATCAATGGCTGGCAAGTTGGGTTATTAAGAAGAGTTGAGTATCATTATATCAGAGCTTTACTTCGGTAGACAATCCATGTCTTATTTGTAATAATGCTGTCAATATGATGTTCTATGCTTATGCTACGTTGCTATTATTGTTGTCCTGGCCATTACTGTTACTATCGTTACTCTTATTCTCATCTAATGTATGATAGATGAATATGAATTAGAATGTATGCTCTACTGTAAGGCTATAAAGTGTATTTCATATTCACATCAAACACGTTACAAGTTTGTAAATACGCGTTTAATAGGAAGGTGAAGATATTCATTACAATGCTTTTCTATTTATGTAAAATCTCAGCCAATGCACTGTAGGTTGAACGGAAAGGAGCTTGATTTTAACGTCTTTTCATCCTCTTCTTGAATAACAAGGGTATTTCAGGAAGCTCCGAGTTGAATGACTATTGAACATTAATCTACGAACAAATTGTTATCGTATCGAGCACACTACCGCCTAAAATGCTGATGCTGATTATAAGAGGTGTTCGTCCAGTTGGTATATCAGAAATACGTGCCAAAATTTAATTTATTTGTCGATCTTTTGCATTTAGGGTCATAATATGTACAAGCATATCTACTATATCGACATACATGAGTAAATAATATCTTAATCTTGTTGAATGATTTGATAGAGCCATGATATCGCTCATACTGTACTCATATTGTATAGTTTTGAGTGCAGACAATAATCCAAAAAGTCTTTTATGATGCAGTTTTTTTACGTTATCGGTGCTTTCAAAGCGAGATTATGCATCCAAGGGAAGCATCCCCTACTCTTTCATACCATAGAGCTTGATAATATTTTTAGTGCAGTACAATGGTGACTCAATTTTATGAATTACTACCATGCTCTGAAAGTATTCAAGAAAACAGGAGACAACTTCACCTTCATCGATCTATTCTATATTAAAAAACACCACATCCTCTGTCGTCATATAAGAAACATATATTTCGTGCAGAAGCCAACTTACTAAGCCCATAATACTTACTCATGCAGTCATATCTAATACAAGACTGGCCAGTGCATCCAAGCATACGCTATGCCTTCTGCAGGCTATTGGCAAGTATGATTTTCCTAAGCGTGGACTCTAGGAAAGCTCATGCGGCGAATTCAGTAGAAGTGTATGGTTGGTAACGCACCGTTGACTCTTATCGTGAATGTTTCAAAATGACAAAGAATATATACCTCACAAACTCATTACCTCCGCCAAACAGCAGATATCTGTCTGTATGGTCAGCAGCCATCGACAATGGTGATGAGCAAAAATTGGTGGTGGGGACAAAGATGTTCAATGCATTGATCATTTCGAGCTTGCGCCTTGATACCCGTACACAGCCTGAAGTAGAGTCAACACAAACCAGTTTAGGGAAAAACTGGTAAAGAATCTTTCAGTACTCAGTTGTAATCAAAAAGAGCAAAATCATGTCAATTAAGTTTAGTGATGGACACGCTCACTTCAAGAATTATTGATACCAATGAAGCGATACTTTAGAGCATCTTTATGGTTTTATTCAATATTCCGTAAATCGTTTTGATAATCGCTAAAATAAACACCCTATTTAAATGTATTGCTATGTCTCTACTACATATCACTAAACATGCAATGAACGTATACGGCTTATTTTCCCCAAAAAAGAATAAGCTGATGGACGAAATTAAACCCGGTTTGGAAAACTCAGGACTGGGAAAAGTCATCTTTCGTTGGTTAGGAGTATTTTTCAGGTCGGAAAATATATTCCTAAAGTATTGCCCTAATGGTGTTTTATGCAATGCTATAAAATAAGCTCAGTTTCTTGTTCCTTTTCTTTTTTTTTCCCAGAATAACCCAAATGGCTTCATCCCTTCGCGGTATCTTTGTTCCTATTCCTACATTTTTTAAAGAAAACGAGGATTTAGATTTATATTCTCTTGACCTTCATATTCAATACTTGTCTAAAAGTGGTGTTGCTGGTATTGTCGTTTTAGGTTCTATGGGTGAGGCAGTGAGTCTATCAGACGAAGAAAGGGATCAAGTTATCAAGCAAGTTGTGACATCAGTCAAGAAATATAATCCAAGCCTTGTCATCATTGCAGGAACATCATCTCAGAGTGCAAGAAACGTCATTTCTTATACTAGACAAGCAGCAGCCGCTGGTGCTCAATATTGTCTGATTTTGCCTCCTTCTTTTTACCGTGGTTCGATTACAGACGATGCGTTGGTTGCTTTTTATACAGCAGTAGCGGATCAATCACCATTACCAATCATTATCTATAATTACCCAGGTGTCTGTCAGGGCATAGATGTCAGTACCAAGGTGCTTGTTCAACTATCCAAACATAAAAATATTATTGGCTTAAAGGGAACAGATGCAAATGTAGGAAAAATGGCAGACTTGGTTCAAAAAACAGATCCAAAAGGTGAGCCAAATAATAATAACAATAGGAAATAGCTGGTTTGAATACTGACTCTATGTGAACTCTGGAAGAATTTGCATTGTTAGCGGGTTCTGTCGATTTTTTCTTGCCAGAGCTTTTAATAGGTGCAGTAGGATTAATACCAGGCGCTGGTAACGTATTCCCTGCATTGTGTGCTGAAGTTCAACGGCTATATGACAATAAACAATACGACGAGGCAGCTCGACTCCAACGACAACTTGTAGAGGCTGACGATGCTCTCTGTCGATGGTATGGTGTTCCAGGCGCCAAGAGTTATATATTCAGAAAGTTTGGTTACGGGCGAGGCATCTGTCGTAATCCACTTCAAAGGGTTACAGAAGACCAAGCTGTAAAGATCGAACAAGCAGTTGATCCTGTGGTCTCTCTTGAAGAGAATCTTAAATCTAATTGGACAAACAAATAAACAAACCAGTGACTTGCTTTTAAAATTTTTCGACTCCCTCTCTTTCCTTTCACCACTTCTCTCTTCCCTTTCTACCCTTTTTTCGCTCCGGACTGAATCCAACACGGACCAGACAAGTTGAGAAAAATTTAAGCACAAATATACACAAATGGATTCTACTTCAACTTCTTCCACTCAACCAGAAACAGTCTATGTGACACCTCAGCAGCCTGAACCACAGCAATTACAACAACAACAGCAACAGCAGCCTACTGTTACTACTCTTCAAGAACAACAACCTCAGCAACAACAACAACCACAACAGCCTTCTCCTCCAACTTCTCAAGATCAAGAGGAAGAATGTAGCATTCTTTCTCCCACTTTAGCAGACATCTTGAGCGATGATCGTATTCTGCGGTTCTATCAATGTGTTAAAGATATCAGAACTCAAAACTCACCGAAACAGACCGCAGCCATGTTTTTTGCACTATGTCATGCTCTCGGTGACTCTGTCTCCTTTTTGAAAGTTCCCAATATGTCTAAAATCATGTTTCGTCAAGAGCAACAAATATTTGGCGTCAACGTAGCTGGTACACAACATGACATCTTTCAGAGTGCAGTGCCTCCACCACCGCCAGAGCATAATATACCAATGGCTATTGCTGATAATACAAATACAAGTCTAATGCATGATGTCGATTCAAGTCACGGCACATCCAACCTTTTTACAGCCACAGCAGATAATCAGCATATACTTCAAGCGGCTCTAGCCTCGGTCACTGCCGCCGCCGCTGCCGCTGCATCCAATTCTGCCGTATCGGATACCATTTCAACTAAGAGAAGAGGACAGGATCTGAAAGGAACAACAACAAAGCGAACGAAAAAGGCTTCTCCTAGAGATAAAGAATATGTTGTTAGAAGTAAGTGTCAATATTGATTATCATTTGGAGATAATGAACCGATTGCTCTATTTATAGGAAACGAAATCATTCAGGATCTATTAAAACTATCAGACGTTGATCTGCTGCATCAAGCCAACACAATCGATCCTGAAGTCAAGTTAATCATCCAAGGGCAGGAACGTTCAACTAAACTGGGTGCCTTGGCTCCTCTTCATCGATTTGCTGCATTTGCCAACTTGCCTGCACACTATGACTGTGACTTTGCCCCAAAGAATGCAGGCGTATACTTTAACTATGAGTACTTTCAACTCTATTTGGCTTACCGAGACTTAGAAATCGAACGACAACAGCAACAGCAGTTGGAAGGCTCAGCTGATCATCGGCCCATCTTGGTACAATGCCGTGCCGATATCGAAAAGGTATTGGTCAACACAAATTGGGAAGCTATTCGTCGACGATTGACGATTGGTGAACGTATCTATCAAGTGTGTGATATCCTCGGAAGAGGGTTCCTATTGCTCAGTAAACAAGTATCTGGACGTAAACTATTACACAACTTTAATGCTGGTGAATGGGCTGAGTTTATGCGCGAGTTCCGAAAACCTGAAAACCAGGCCTTACTTGACAATTTGCAAGCACGATATAACCCTACTCGATTCTATGGTCAATCTCAAGGCAAAGAAGCTGTGGTTACGGTTGCTGAGGTTACTCCTACTCCAGCTGAGCAATAATTAATCATTACTCTTTATATTAATGACACATACACACAACATTTATAAATGTATTGCTCTCAAAAACTACTTTTTAAAAAAGTTACTGATGGTAGCTATTCTTGTATTTGAGGGTGTATTCTTTGGACAGAACAGAATCTGCTTCCTTTTATTCTTTAGTATAAATAACTAGGGTAATTAATTTTGAGCGATTTGTATATAATATATTTTTTCGTGTAGGTACAATAGAATAACAATTATTAGCTCCAAACGTCTTCTTGATAACGACCTGCCGTTCTTAGACCTTTCACAAACTCATGCGCCTTGGTTTCTGTCATGCCTCCAAACTCGACTGCACAATTGATAAAAGTTTGATTCACATCACGTGCCATATTCTTAGCATCACCACAAACATAAACATAAGCTCCCTTAGCCAACAGATTCCAAATACGTTGGCCTTGTTCCATGAGTCTGTGTTGAACATAGATCTTCTGAGGCTGGTCACGCGAGAATGCAGTAAAGATATCAGAATCTTCACCCAAAGTCTGAAAGAGCTCTGCCCACTCATCGGCATAAAGATAGTCCTGATCATGGTTACGGGAACCGAAAAAGAGTAAAGTTGCGCCGATCGGCTTGCCGTTACGTTTCTCCAGTGCACGCTCATGAACGAAGCCACGGAAAGGAGCAACACCTGTACCTGGGCCTACCATAATAATCGGAATAGTTGGGTTGCGAGGCAGCTTGAATTGAGAATGGCGTATGTGAATAGGCAGTCTTTGACAGTAGTCTTCTGAAATTATAAAAGCGCGACGAGGACCAGCCAAGTCATAGGCTGGTATGTTTTGTTCACGAGGCTTGTGTTGTGCATGGATGTTGTATAAGAGGTTCGTGCAGACACCGTACACCGTACGCTGAGGAGTGGATGTAGGATGATACTGAAGAGTGACAACTGTTGCAGAGACGATGTGAGGGCTTTCTTTTGCTGAACTGGAAATAGAATAGAATCTTGGCTGCAAACGATTTATGTTTTCGACGATCAGATCAAAGGGTACAGAAGTCCAGGTTTGTTTGGTCACTAGTTGAAGCACTTCGCCCAAGTTACGACATGCATCAGCTACTTTAATTCTATATTCATCCTTATCATTTGCTAAACGAGTTAAAGCCCTTCTGGCTTCTTCATTAGGCGCGTATTCGATCAGAGTCTGAAGGGTTTGACGAGAGGCAGGGGCACAAATTTCCAAATAATGTCTAAACATGGAGCGATAGGTAGTCGGAACAGGGAAAGGATGCTTTTTTGAAGCGGCTGGATCAATGGCTTGAACCATGACAACCGTATCTAACTTGTCGGTTAAGTTTAACACAGATGCAAGCCTCTCTACTTCCTGTTCATTATTTGTTGGCCAAATTGCAATATGGTCACCCGTCTGATAACTCAAGTTGGTATTACTGATATCGAATTCTATATGCAAACAATGACGATCAGTTCCTTGAAATAGTTCACGTGTAGTTACGATAGGCGCAATATAGGGATGTTTGGCATCATAGGTGATTTTTCTACATGTTTCAAGGGTTATTACTCATTGCTCATACACGTTTTATAACCTACGTAGTTGAGGATGGCTTCTCGGCCAATTCACCAAAATACACTTGCTCCTTTTCATACTGTGCCAGTTCTTGTACACAATAGATGGGTTCTCTCGGACCTGAACGACTCTCATCCACACCCAATGTTTCACAAAACGCGGGCCACATTTTTTCTTTCCAACTTAAAAAGTCTTCTTCCAAGGAACCGTCATCGTCGCCTTCTCCACGTTCACCTATAATATGCGCACCAAGTTTTGACAGATGATAATGTACTTTACGGGAGACTTCGTTGTACTGTTCGTAGGTCTTGTTACCAAGGCCAAACAGAATGTAATTTAAGTTTGACAGGTCACTCTCCCCTTGACTAAACAGTGGTTCTTCCTCAGTGATGAGATCCCAAAAGTCAACAGCATTGTCGGTTGGTTCACCTTCACCATATGTTGCAAGAACAAAGATGACCAAGTGATCTTTTGGCACTTGGTCCAAATAAGAGAGATCATATAATTCGAGATCGGCGGTCATTGCACTGACTCTAAATCGTTGAGAGCATTCCTTTGCAAGACGTCCAGCGTAACTTTCAGCAGTACCTGTTTGAGAACCATAAAAGACGATGACCCTACGACCCTATTACAGATGCGTAAACAAGTATTGATTTTTATATGTTATCCTATCTACTTGTTCTTTCATGACTTTGACAAAATTTGTTTCCCTTTGAGCTGTATTGGCTTTGGTGCTGTTATCAGTTGATTTATGATCATTTTTAAATAATAAACTCGTAATCCATTTTCGATTAAACCATGCAAATGTTAATAAGCCAATGCTGCACAATAATAAAATGTCTGAAAGATCAATCAGTTTAGTGTCATGGTTATCATCCATTATATGTGTGTTGTAGGAGAAAGAAAGAAAGATCGGAGGGGCTAACCGAATTAAAAAAAATTTAAACTATGAAAATCAAAAAAGACGATAAATGAATGACCTACATTATGCATATCTGTTATTGCCACTCTCCTTTTCTTTCTTTCTTTTTACCTAAAAGGGAAAAAGAAGAATAAAGAAAGTATCTATCATTTGTTATGTTATAGTATAGCGAAAAAAAAAAGAGGATTTGATCATTCGTTATTTTAAACGGAGGATGGTTTTATTATGTGATTTGATTTAAGCTATCTATAAAGATATTAAACATATCCCAATCAAGCTTTGTAATACACGTCAAGGCTCAAAATGGCAGGGCTACCTCGGTGCAACTATACTGTGCCTGTTTCCATTTCTAATCACCGCTGATGTCATGCAAATGAAAGTAGTATCAACATGATGCTGTTGGTATAACATATAGTACAATTGATATCACAGAAGGATTACATGCTTTAGTTAAGATTTATTAAGCTTGTTTTCTTTGAATATGAATGATATTTGCACCAAGGTGTATAAAATAGTAGCTACTTGAAGAATAAAGAAAGGAAAAAATGAGGGAGGGGGTATTTTAACAGGCTGAGACATAGCAAGAAGCGTCGACAAACTCCCTACAGAGTCAAGGGTAAGTTTCTTTTCAATACTAGTATTAATATACGCACCATTCTCCTTCAATCGCTTCATACATCATTTCATATTTTGATAATGCTTGAGAAAGGTCATCTAGGGCTGCTTGAACAGAAGAGATACCTTCATCATCAAATACAGACCAGAGTTGCTCCGATAGATAGTCTCTTAATTGCAAACACTCCTCATATGCGTCCTATAAAACAATGAGTGAATCAATCAGATGGAATAGTCAAAATACGTACCTTTGCTATTTCATTTGCCTTGATCTGATGTGGTTCCATCATGGTCAATGTCTGTAAAAGAAACGAACTGACTTTCTTTGAATCTGAAATGGCCTCTTCCACACTAAGGTTTAAAGGGGCTGTCTAAAAAGAAATGAGATAATGACCACCTTTCCTTCCAAGCATCCAGTACTAACCTTTGTAATGGTATAACCAGCAATGATGCATGACGACATTTTATGAACAGAATAAAGGAAGAAAATAAAGAAAAGAAAGAGATCAGGAAGAACTCTCCTTTTATAGATGGCCAAAAAATTCAAAAAGAATTTTCACATGTTTATGCCAAAAGCTGAGTTCACGTATGCTCTTTATGCTCAAGTTATATTTTTTTTTCCCAAGAAGTTGGAGTAAACGAGATAAAGTTCATTTCCATATACAACACGGCTTCCATGGAACCAATACTCTTTTTATGTAGATTATTCCATGGCAATAAATTGAATCAGGGTTTTCACGTGGTTTAGTTCTTTTTTTTTGCTGTGTTCAAGTCCTTCGTACATTTATCTGACCGCTTTGTTCATTCATGCAGGCGCTTCATTCTTTCCCTTTTTTATTAAAAAAAAAAAGAATAATACACACATATCCTCCATTCTTTCAAGCTCAAATATGTTCACAATAAAGCAGTGACAGACATTTTCATTGGCCAGAAAACTTTTTTTAAGGCGGGCCTTGTTTTTTCTTTTTCTTTCTGCTTTTCATTTTCATTTATCATGTCTTATAGGAATAAAGGGAGTGAGACACCTGGGCGTCCAGAAGTATTTGAAAGACTAGGCACTGTGAGCAATAGTAGCGATCATAATTACTATAGCTACAATAGCAGTTATAGAAATCATGGTTATAACAGCAGTAGCAGTGACTATTACAGATACCGTCGTCGATCTCCTTCTCTCTATTACAATGACCGTTACGATGATCGGTATGACGGCCGTTACAGTGATCGCTATGATGATCGTTATGGTGACCGCTACTACAACGACCGTTACTCTTACAGATCATCAGATAGCGGTTTAAAAATTGTAAAGTCATACAACAGCAACAACAACAACAGTTATCACCATAAGCAAGATTATTATTCATCATCGTCTGATAAAAGCCGCATTAATTTTGTCAAAAATGATAAAAAGCCTATTTCATTTGTACCAAATAAGTCAGGCGAGGATTCTTATGACCGAAGAGAACCTTCTCCAACTACGGATCGTGATAAAGCGGCAAGGGACTTACAAATTACAGTAACAAGGGATAAGAAATCAGATCACCAAGAAGATAGACATGATGATGCTTACAACACGAGTTCAGCCACTTCACGGGAAATAGCTATGACTCCATCACAAAGATCTGATTCCAGTCAACGAAAGAGTAGCGCAGGGACTGACAACAACACTCGATTTAATTCCCAAGCCGATCAGCAAAAATCGCAGGTAAAAAGAAATCAGAGCCCGCCGAACAAGTCAAAGCTAGAAAAAAAATCAGTCGACAACAACAAGAGCAATAGCTCTGTTATAGTAACAACAACAACAGCAACAACCCAAAAGCCAGCCCTTACATCTCTTTCTGCTCTTAGAGAAACAAAATCTGATTCTACTGTTCAACTAGAGAAACCTCCTACAGAGCCTGCTGCCATGAGAAATGGAAAGATTGCTGGTCTTTTGGATCCATTATCAAAATCAAGTCCTGTAACAACAAAAAGCGTAAACAATCTTTCAGCAGAATCAGAAAGTACAAAAAGAGACAGCACCATTACTTCAAATCAAGCACCTACAAAGCCTTCGACAATACGTACTGCAGTCAATCAAAAAAATCGTGGCAACGATCCAATTAAAGAAAAGTCTAATTCTCTAAGAAAATTAAGTAACGCCATGAATAAGCCATCTTTGCCAACAACAAATGATCCTAAATCAAACACCAGCGCACCATCTACAAAACCCACTTCTTCTGCTACTGCAAAGGCTTTGAATAAACAAGATAATAAAACAGCACAATCCAATCAACTCAAGGTAGTAGCAGACAATATATTAGTATCACCAAACTCACAAGAACACCAAAAACCGAGGCAATTACAGCAACCAGCACCACCACCAACAACTGTAGCACACGGTCAACTGGAGCCAATCAAGCACACAAAAGAGTCTACACGTACAAATGATCCTGTTTCTATGCACGCTCCCAGCCAAGCATCGGTAGAACAGCAAAAGAAAGAATTGGAGAAAAAACTTGAGGAGAAACATGTAGAGCAACTTCAGCAACTGCTACGACTTCAAGAAGGGGAAGAGGAGCTTGCCAGGGAGCGTGTGAACAAAGAAACAGAGGCTGATCAAAACACAATAGCCACTCTTCAGGAACTGATAAAGTCAAGTAAAGAAAAGCAAAGCAAATATGAAGAACAAATGAACATGTTTCCTCCAGAAAGCCAGGAATGGATGGACGCCCGAAACAATATTGAAGTTACCAAAGTTTTTATAAACGACCTTAATGATCAGCATACCAATATAATGGATAGTATTACAGGCATACTAAATCAGCAATTAGAGGCAATACAAACCAATTTTAAAGAATTGATAAGAAAAGCACAAGAAGAATATGACTCTGAGAAGAGGCAGATTGATAATTTATTCAAAATCAAAAAGAGTAGCTCTTCCAGTTCTACCAAGAAGAGCATTATCTCTATAAAAAATGTTACTGAACCTTCAACAACAACAGTTAACCCACAAGTAGCAGTATTAATGAATCAGTGTCCCACACAGGATACTATGAAACAGCAAGCAAGTGAACAAATTACCAGAACTTTAATAGAGAAACAGAATGGGATACCACGAGCGTCGTCAATAAAAGCTACATACACGCCAGTAGAGACAGGACCTGCAGCTCCCACGCCTCAAAAACAAGCATCACCTGAACCTACGAAGCAGGCTATACCAGCGCCGACAGCGCCTCCACAAACGATCAGCACGACTATAGCACCAGAAGCATCAAAAATGGATACCAACGATACTGATAAGCAACATAATGTAAACAATTCACCAAACAACACCATCCCAAGGAAGAGACGAAGAGTATTTACAGACAGTACAGAAGCATCTGTTATCATCAACAATGACGTATCATTGACCTCTCCAAATACTACTACTACCACTACTACTTTAGCACCAAGTCCAATACAGCAGCATATTGAAAAACCAGTAGAGGAAGAACGGGTCGAGAAGGCAGTAAAAAGGCATAAATATGATCCATTTGCTCCTGCAGATCATGATACAATCACACCACCGGTTTCTGCATCCGTATCAGCCCGGTCCCTTAATGAGATCAATCAGCCTCAGAAAGGCCGACGAGAATTTTTGTTACCTATTGATGAACGTGATGATGTCGTAATTGATATCTTTACGAATAAGGGCGCTGTTCATCGCCAATCACCAGCATTAACAAATTCTTTTACGCCTCAGACATCTCCCGTAGAAGCTTGTATTTCTGATCCAATGGAGGTTGACCAAGAGCCCATTCGTGACAGCAACAAAACTATCTCGGCACAAGAAACACGCATTGAAAAAATGGATATTGAGCAGCCAGTTACAGAAACACCTGGGGATAAAAAATCTGTTATTGTTGGTAGTAGTACAGTCAATGTATCAGCAAAGAAGCCACGAACAACAACAAAAGTTCCCAAAATTTGGAAAGTCAGAATGGATGATGACACTGGTGATGTTTACTATCAACACAGAGTCACAGGAGAAATTCGACTAGACCGACCATGTTAAAATGAATGCAAGTGTATAATATTGATCAGCTAATAATGAAGCAAGATAATCCACACTATGACCATTATTTTAATTTCCCCAGCATTTATATCTCTCTACATTTTGCATCACTGATACCAAACAATAGCCATTCATTATGTAAATAACTTTTTCTGTTTAGAATAAATCGCGGTAAATACTATGAGGATCTCCCATCTTTATTTCATAAAATAGGTAAGAATAAAGAACTACTTCATGACCTCTTCCTTTCAATATGCTTAATAAAAAAAAGCTGATATCAAAGGATTTGAATGGTTGCAGTAAAATCTCCAAAGTCAATTGGTCTGTTTAACATATGCAGATTCTTTCGTTGAACGTTCAATTGAACTCTCCATATCGCCTTATTGTTGACTGCACTGGCCATCGTAGCAGAATTGACTTCAGCAACCCATTGTAGACAGCTAATGATTTGATAAGCTTCCACTTCGAGTGGCACATTACGTATCTGGGCTTGGATATCTACCCGCTCTTCATACTGTCCATTTTGTAGAGCTTGAAGCTGATTTATAAGTATATCCACGTTCGAATTGCCATCCTCTTCAGAGTCCATGTCATAGTAATCGTCGGCCTTTTCACCAAGGACGTACTTTCCGAGCCCATCGTCTAATGCATAATTTTCATATTCCTCATAGTCATCATAGTCATCATCTGAGTAGCTTTCAGGATGTTGATTATAGTAACTGTTTTGCCTTGGATATTCTTGAACTTTTGCAAAGTGCTGTTGTATTGGTATCTCGGCAGCGGTTGCACTGCTATTAGCTGTACTGGAGGTAGATGCCTGTCTGTCAGGTTTATCAGGAGACGCAGGCTTTGCATTAGGGGCCCAATCCACAAGACCAGCAGATGGCATGAATTCTTCAGACGATACGGATCTTTTATCATCATGGCTTTTCTTGGCGTCATTGCGTGAATTCTTTTGATTAGAGCTTCTCGCAACGTGGGTATCTGTACCATGTTCGGTTATCTCATGCTTCTCCAAGAATGATGAACCTCCATATGACTGCTTCTCTGATTTTCTGTTCATACCGTGTCTTTCGCTAGATTTGGTTTCATCACGATTGACTTTACCATGTTCTTGGGAGGACTTTGTATTTCCCAGCTTCTTTGATTGAGGCAGCTGTACTTCTGCCTTGATGGGCTCACGTTGTCTCGAATCAGGTAATATTCTGTTGGTGCCCAAAAAGGCGACTGATCCATTGGAATCCCTATTTCTGCCATTGACATTCATTGTATTATGTCCATTCAACTCATGATGCTCTTCTTGTGTCTTTGAGTTTACATGAGAAGATCTCATTTGAAACCCACTTTCTTCTTCGTCAGCTTTGATTGCTGAAGAATTTACAGCGATATGAACCCGCATAAACTTTTCGAAATGGTGCATCAAAAACTCCATCATGTCACCATTGCTATTCAAAATATCTTCTTGAGTTATCAGCTCATCGCCCTGTTTAAACCTATCGCCTGTATCATAATTAACCGAAACATAATGCCCAACGAGAAACAGCCGAGAGATGAGATGAATGAGGTCGTCGTAATGGGCATTCGTTATATTGAGCTCGGTAGCTAACTCAATCGGGCTATACTTGGGATTACGCTTGATTTGCAGTAGATACTTTGATAGTTTGACAAGTGAGGCATCAATTTCAATTTCTCTTTGACTTCCTTTCCATTCGAGTTTTTGGTTTTTTTCTTCTTTTTGCTTTGGCTTTTTGTTATCTTTTGACGTGTTTTCTGCTCGCTTTTTTGTGCTTGGTTCGTTTTGAGGCGCCTGCTTTTTCGTAGTGGATTCAGTTTGTGGTATTTGCTTTTTCGTATTGGATATAGTCTGCGACGTATTTGCATGTTTAACTGTGGAAGTGCTGTTTGTTTGTTTAACTGTGGAAGTATTGGTTTGCAAAGCACGAGTACTGTTTTCCTTTTGTAAAGTGGTCGTTTGAGGTTTAGGTTGAACCTGTAAGGAAGGAAGGGTGGCCACTTCCCTGGCCTCTGAATACCTGATACTGGTCATGGACATAGTTGCTATAGGAGGATCGATGAAACCCTGACCTTTACTGCATACATATTCAAATGAATAACCATGACTTAACAGCTTAGAAGCCCTAAAAAACTCCCCTAAAATGAGCTCCAGGTTTTCTTTCCTACGGCAAGTGTGTCTATAACAAAATGAATTAATTTCAGCAAGAGTCCAAACAAGATACATACGCTACGTTCTTTTTACGTAAAAACGGGTCTTGGACGATAATACCATTCTCACGACCCCTTTTAAAAACGTACCCAGGCAATTCCTTTCCTCCTGAAATGATAGACACTGCTAAATTTGAAGATTGCCAGTAATAGTTAAAGAATCCAAGCAAGAGTGTACCTAACTCGGCAGTATTTGGACTTTTCCAAATGGAAGTGTAATTGGGTAAGTGAATTAAGCTTTTCATTGCTATACAGTTGTGATAATTCACAGCAAACTTTTGAAGTTGTCTTTCGTAAACAGCAGCCACTGGTTGTGAGGTCTTCCAGTTGCATATCTTTGATGTACATGGAACTGGCAGGTTTTGCAAACAGGGCACGACAGGACCATCACAATGAGTGATCAAATAATGTATTGCCATTATGATATAAGCGTAACTACTCAATGTCCCATTGGCGGCTATAGAGTATCAATTAATAATAGCAATAGGCTGCCATTAGATTATGTATAGTACGGTTATTTATATTCTTTTGCTTCACGAAATACTTGATAGCAAACAACAAGGGAGCCACTCTTGGATCAGTGTCCATGTATTGTTGAATTAACTTAGTATTCACAATACCAAGGGTATTATTGGTGTTGATATCACATCGAAAACCAGTCTTGGGATCAAAGAATTTACAAATGGGTACAGAGGCTCCACAGATAGGGTATACTTCTTTCATGCCCATGCTTCTCAAGACAGAAGCAACACAATTCATGTTATAAACTGAGTTTGGTAACTGGAGCATCTTGAATTTATATTGTGCCCAATCTTCCTTATACCTTGCTTCTGGAACAACAATACACAAGTCAAGGTCTGCGTCCTTGAATACTAGACCGCTTGCTGATGACCTACATGACTCTGTTTGCACTTTAGTTTTCTTATCTGAGTCATCCTTACCCAAAAACAGCTACTTTCAAGTCCATATCAGGCCATACTTGGTTCAACCTATATTGAATCCTGTTCTTCAACGACCTTCTGTCGTCGATCATTGCCTGTGTCGGCTTCAGTTCCTAATACCACGTATATTAGTTTGACACACGGAAAGAAGATAATACCATCGATTGAAACTCACACGATACAGGTTCATTATTTCTTCTGACAACTCTTGGTCTCTCTCCATCATTTTCCTATTGGACCGAATATCCTCAAGATACGAATGGTGATTTTCTTCGCTATAGCATATAAATAGAAGGGTATGACTCGACTTATTTTCGACAAGTTCAGGAAAATATCGGTAGGCAAAACGTGGATCACTATAGTAGTCATTGGTGTACATCAACTCAAAGTCCCATCTCTTCCAATCACCACAAGAAACAAAAGACTTGTATATCTTTCCTCTACTGTTTATAAAGTCATCAAGTCCTTTGGACATTGCGAAATAATAACTGCACTGATCTCCATACTTTTGTTCCACGAATTGCTGAAGCGAAGCGATAGAAACAAGACGTGCTGCCTTTTTTCTTACTACGCCTATATTGTGCTGCACTGTAAAATCCACGCAATCTTTAAAGAATTGCTGGTGGTCAACAATAAAGGTCATATTGCTAGTACAACAAAGAAAGAAAGAAAGAGAAAAAAAAAGAGGGAAAAATGTGTAAAATGCCCTGAAGCCCTTGTGACAGCAGGCTTTATTTTTATGCAAATCCTAAAGTCATAAAGTCTGTTTCTTTATTTAAAGATACATTAATTGCTGTATAGTCACAGGCTGTTTAAATACTACATCAACTGCTATAATACGGAGGAGTATAGTTGCTATCATTAGATAAGTATGACATGTTCTATTTTGGGATATTGAATAATCTACCTTGTTCTCTCTCGTTTGATCGCATCAATTTCTCGTCTTAGTTCATTTATTTCATTCTCCAGATCGTAATCTCGACGCTTTAACAAGGAAATATATTCAACAGCTAATAATAACATTATTAGAAGCTTTTAAGTCAAAAGGATATGCAAAGTTACCTTTACTTAAGATTTCCCATTTACTAGTCTTCATATTCTTTTCAACAGGTAAAGAATCCCGAAGTTCATCAAATAAGCACTTCATCTCTTTCCTTCTTTTACGTTCAGCTAGTTTATGACTGATCCTCAGGGCTGGACTACGTGAATAAGGTGTTTCCTTTCGCGGTCTTTCCCTATCTGATACTAGCAGATCAGTCCCGTTACTGTTTATCTCTTCTTCCGACAATTGAGGTAAAGAGCTTGCACTTCGAACAGTTACAAGGGGCATAGACGCTCTTCTAACCGGCGTATAAGGCTCTGTAGCTCTGTAATCCTCAATCAAGGATGCCTTGCGTCGCTGGCTACTTAACGAAACGGGTCCACCATGATGGTTATCCATCAGTTGGGAAGAATGGCTGTAACGTGATGTTGCTGCCTTATCTTGCATAAATTCTGGACGACCTGTATTCACAAGCTGAGATGGGCTCGGAGGTGCAGAAAGTGTATCATATGTTGGTAACTCTGGAATAGTTGAGGGAAATTTGAATGCTAAAGAGAGAATATATGTATAAGAATCTAAATTTCACCATGTGCTCAACCCGCATACCTTTATATTTTGATGCCGACGTATTATTGCCTCCAGTAGGACCATACCTCGACGTTGAACTGTACGATGTTTCAGCTGTGGCAATAGAGTGTCTGCGTTGAAAGGGGTCGTAAAATGAGCCTGTATTGGGTGGTGGTGCTAATGGATGTTTGCTGCCATTGTTCGTAGTATTAGCTCCGTTGCTTAACGAGTATCGTCTGCCGAACGAATAGGATAAGCTATCCTGATTGTCATAAAGGCGTTGTCTGGTAAACGCTGAAGGAGAAGGGGACCGAGAAGGACAATCATAATCTGTAGCAACAGACCCTCTCCGGCTTTGGACAGCTGAGTTTGGCAACGGCAACACTTCTGCAATAGACGGACGGCGACTCGTGCTGTGAAATGAAGCAGGATCGGTAATGGATCCTCGCCGGGAGAATGATTCATAAAAGGACTGGTGTGAATTGGGTTCTAGAGGAGACGGCCCTGAAACATGTTGTCGACGTTGGGGCTGGGACACAGTCATGTCTGACATTCTATGTCGAATATAATCATCAGGGGTCATATTGGCAGGTGTAGCCGAGGATATAGACGATAGACTCTTTATTGACGGAAGACTGGGCTTGTCTTTATTTCAAAAAAATAAGCAATGAGAAACCGAATGCACATCTATGTGTTTATGATGTGTACCTTTGCTACATGGATGCATTACTTCGTCCCCAGGATGTTGCTCATCAATCATCATCTTGTCTTGGATTTCTTCTTCTCGGATATTATTTCTTGGCTGAGCTGAATCAATCAACGGTCTTAGTAAGTGGTTTGCTGGAGGTAGCGTAGCATTGGTGATATCTATATCCACGGTTTCCATGGTAACTTATAGTACGGAAAATATATAATAGAAAAGATAAATAAAGAAGAGAAAGAAAGAAAAAAAGAAACTATAAATATTATTTATTTATATAAAAATATAAAAATGCAGAAAAAGAAAAAGAGTTTTTAAGGGTAGAGTAAAAGCTTTTATTTTTATCGACCTCTGATTCTATCAAAGGGGAGGAAATAAGGAAAAAGAGCAGTGCAAAATGGTGTTAAGCGCCTATGACAGTCACGTATCTCATTGTGTATAGTCCTCCCCTTTCCTTTATTTGCTCCTTTTCACCCTTTTATGCATTTAATGTATTGTTCTTCTTTTGAAAAAAGGGTCAGATGTCTACTTTTTTTCCCCGTTTTGATGCTCGTGTCTCCCTCTTTTTTTTTCTTCTTGTAATAACATAGACTCCCTGTCATTTATGTAAATAGAGAGAAAGTAGCGACATTAGCTTGACAGACCGGTTAAAGACACAATAACAAATGACAGTTTGCACATTGTCAAGTCGATCGAGCGGGATTAGAAATGAACTTGATCGCCCTTATTCTGAGTTGCTTTTAATCTTGCTTTACCATTTGCATAAACGGAACACCAGGAGGTATATTGACAATATCAAAAGGAAAAAAAAATCTCCTTTTCACAGAAAAGAAAATGTAGTGTAATTTCCTTATTTCATACAGATTTTCTTTTTTACTTTTTTATTATTTTTTTAGATCCTTTTTGCTCCTTGTTTATGCAACTTGTAAACACACAGACAGTGAAGACTATATCTGACTTTCAAAAATAAGGTTGTGTCAATATTTTATTACCAAAGTTCACATTTATGAACAGGATTCATAGGACTTCCGGCTGGACACTTGAATACGTTTGCAAAATCCACAGAATTTTGTATAGCGCCATTGACACGCCATTTAGGAGGGGAGTGTTCATCAGTAAGGACCTATGAGAATAGATGATTTAAGGATGTGGACATACAAAAGGCTTAAAATACTTACACCTTTTTTAGCTTGGGCAGGTGTAGCCTTATTACACCAGATACGACCATAATTAATAAAAAAGAGTTGTTCAGGAGATAGATCGTCTAATCCAGGCAAGCGAACATTGTTGTACTTTTTGTTCTCCTTATCGCTGTCATATTGTTGCTTCCATGCTAGGTATGCTTCTCTTAACCCACCATTGTCAGCAAGGTTTTCACCTAAAGTAAGCTTTCCTTTGACATGGAGCGCATCACCCTTTTCATCAATAACAGTAAATTTACTATATTGCTTAATAAAGCATTCGGCCTTCTCATCAAACTGAGTAGACGTCTCGTTCGTCCACCACTCCACAAGCTTACCATCCGCGTCAAACTGTCTACCGTTATTGTCAAAGCCATGCTATATAGAGCGAGGTTTAATGGAAAGTAATATTAAAAAAGAACCACTTACTGTAAGCTCATGACCAACGACAGCACCGATTCCACCATAGTTTAGATAATCAGGGTAATTGCTACCAAAGAAAGGGTTTTGTAAAATACCAGCAGGAAATACAATCTGCCAAACAAAGTGTTACATACGTCTGGTTTCATTTCATGTCCCCCTTCTCTTCTCTCCTTTATGATTATTTCGGTAATATCCATTGCTTAAATAAGCATTGGAAAATTGATGAAAAAGGCATAAAAGGAGAGAACGATGTATTGGGGGGAGGACTTTCTTACCTCATTGAAAGAAGGGTTGTAGTAAGCATTGACCTCCTGGGGATTCATAAGCCATTTCTTCTTTTCGGGTGCTTTGCCTACTTGACTCCATTCTTCGTTAATGGCCCATTGACGCGAGTGTAAGTAATTTCCAAAATAATCGTCTTCTTTTAATTCCAAGTCGCTATAATACTCCAAGAGTGAAAGTGGAGACATGACATTGGGTGATGAATCAGGATAACCAATCTTTTGGATAAGTTTATCTACTTTTTCAATAGCCCTTTCGCGTGTCTTGTCATCAATCCAAGATAGCTCTGGAAGCCTCTTTACAAAGATATCCTTGATAGACTTTACAAATTCATCTGTATATTTCTTGGCATCTCCACCAAACTTTTCCAATACATAGTAGCGACCCACTAAGAATCCAATGGAATTATCTACTTCATCCAAACATACGTCCCATCGAGGCTTTATAGACTTGGGATCTGCGCCGACTAGTTTAGCATTCATTTGGCGAATGGGTTCACGTATGGGCTCGCTGAGAGCATTTGCATAGGTATGAATCGCTCTCCACATAAGGAATGCTTGAATGTTACGGCTGGGTTCGCTTTGTATTAACTCAGTTAGGTTGCCAATATAGTGTGGTGAAGTAACGACGATGTGACTTGGATGAGGTGCTGTGGATGGTAGGAGATGATCAACAAACAATCCCCAGTCGATTGCGGGAGAATGTTTAGTGATCTCGGAAAGAGTCATGGGATTATAAATGCCCGTAGGGTTCTGGAAATATTCAGGATCGTCGCTGATCTTGGCCAATTTCTTCTCAAAATCAATGATCATACGTGCTGTGCTATTTGCGCTAAACTTGTTCCAACTAAATTCGGGTCCACTTTTGGCAAAGACGGCTTCCAGTGTTTCAGCAATCGTTTCATATAGAAGCTGAATCGTTTCATCTTGCTTATAGTAATCCTTGGTAGGCAATGTCAAGCCTTCTTGAGCCAACAATAAGGTATTAACATTAGGATCTTTATAGTCCGCGTCAACATCAATTTCAAATAAGGCATAAACACCTCTCTTTGCCAAGTAGGATAAAGCCTTGGTCAACTCACGAGAAGAATCAGCCAAGGAAGAAGGGAAAAGGTTACGGATCTCTTTCAAGAGAGGATAAATAGGCTCGGCACCACGTTGATCGATCAAAGTTTCATTCATGCATGAATCATACAGACTCTTTGCCTTGTTAAAGACCTGCTTATCCACCAATTTTTCGGGATCGGGCAATTTGCTAAAAGATGAATGTGTGCGATCATAAAAGTCGTCAAAGGAGCCAGAAAGAATGTCGCGAAGGGTCTCCTTGTTTTGGTCTCTGAGAGTCAAGAAGGAATTAATTCCTGACTTGCCATCTGGTATTCTATGATTCTTTTCCCAGTTATTGCCTATTATGCAAATGATTAATATGCACGTCACTTCCCCTTTTAAGCTCGCCCTACATGTATATTTATAAAAATCATCACAGGGATCGACCGTGGTGTCAATGTCCTGCAGAAACATAAATATGATAAAGTATTCAAAATAGGGTATAACAAACCTTTAGGATTTGGGCGGCTGTCAAGACACATTCAGGTGTTAAGCAAACAGGCTAAGAAGAAGAAAAAAACAAGTGAGTACACACAACTCCCTTTCTTGGCCAACACACGTGTTATGAGACAATATTATTTACACTGGTATTATTGTTTTCTGGGGGTGAAGGGTGATCTGTGGGTGGATTGTGAGGTTTTTCATCATAGACTCGACGTGCATAAAGGCCGGCAAGGATACATAAAACAATGAAAAAGAGTGCAGTTAACGTAAAGAGGACTTTTTCCAAAAAAGTAAATCTTCCACTATTGCCACTCTCCCTAGCTTCAATGTTCGGTTGGTCATCTTGAGGTTCATTGCTTTCAGCCCCTCTGTCTTGTAAAAGAGGATCTCTTTCCGAGCTCATTTTGTTTACAAAAGGAGTGAAAAGAAAAAGAATTTGCGTAGATTGAAAGGATGAATTTATAATTTTATTCAGCATTGATAAGTTATGCGCCGCTTATTCCATATTCAGTGTCTCTTTGAAATGTCCCACTGCCAAAATAATAACAACGAATAACATAAATTTAACCTTGAGCACATATCAATTAGTAACTTTTATTACAACTTCTTACATATACCAATAAAGAATACTTTTGATAACCACCCTATTTTTCCTCTTCATATTCTGCCAAGAATGCTGCCAAGCCTTCTGGTAAGGCATAATCGAGCTTCTTTTCGTCTATCAAGGATTGTGCTTCCTTAATCAACTTGACAGCTCGTTCATAAATTTGGTTCTGTTCTTCTTCATTCAAGACCAAATTTCCTTCATTTACATAGACTTCGGCCAAATCAGTAAGTATCTGTGGGGTGAGTTTATCTGACTTCACAAGCTCTGTATGTGCTGTTTCAAGGTGCTTTTTACTTTCCAGAATAGCTTCATAAGCATTTTTTTCTTCTTTGCTCAATTCAGTCTTTTCCTCCTCTTCATCTTCATCTTCCTCAACGTTATCCAACCAGTAATGGGCAACTTGTAACTTACATAAGCCAAGCACAGACAACGCCTGGGTATTGGTAGGTTCATCTAGTGTGCTTCTGATTAGACTTTGCTCTTTCTCCTTTCTCTCTTGTCGGTCTTACCTCTCAAAATCTGTTCAAGCGTTTTCTCGGCCCATGTTATGAACTTGTCACGAGATTCAAGAGTTGTGTATAAGGAACCGTGATTTTGAGCAATATCAGCAAGTTCAATGATCACCTTGGAAGATAGTTTGGATTCACTGATCGCTTTATCCACAGTGGACAGAGCGCGTATAGCCAATTCAGGAACATTATCATCTGACATTTGGCTGGAAGCCTTAGCAAACCAGACCTTTGCAAGAGCCACATTGACCTTGCTGACTAGTTCAGCAGTGTCTTCTTTTTCCAAGTGCTCTAAACTGTCATTTAATCTTTCCTCTGCAGCATCCAAATAAGGTTCAAAATCCTCATCTTCTATCAAACGGCCCAATTCATATAGAGCAACGCCATAATTGTAATAAAAACTGGCAGGCAGAGGATTTTCAGAGTCCCAGTTACGAAGAATACGATCGGATTCATGAATCGTTCCGCGAAGTAAAGGTAAAGCTTCAGAAGAGTCAGACTCTAATATAGTGTAAGTGAACACACTTGTATTCAATAAAAAGCCTTACCGAGTTTTTCTAAAGCGCTTTCCAAAAGAGCGGCTGTCTCTCCAAGCTCATCACCTTCTTCCACCTCTTTGTCGATAACAACAGTTTGAGCATTCTCGGGGATCTCGGTTGGTTGAGTAGTTGAGTCATTGTTGTTCTTTGGCTTTTTGGATTTAGCTAATGCGCTACCTTTCAAGCCTCTGGGTCTCTTCTTTTCAGCTGTCATGATCTATGAATCTAATAAAGAAAGAGAGAAAAAAATTATGGGCTGACAGAACCTGTCAAAAAAAAAAAAAAATCGGAGTGACTTTTATGCTTAGCTTTAATGGGTGAATGCGATTGATTGATAAAAAGTTATATCAACTAAATCACATTATTTATGTGTTTGAACAGCACCTTTTATTTATATGATTAAAGATATACCTTTTAACAAATGGTAATATTTCTTATTTGTTTTGTTCCTTAATGATGTTTTTATATTTTACACCAATCAAAAACTCAAGGGAGATTGTCTGCTTTTATAGTTTTTGATCAATACTTCAATTTCTTTCAAATAAAAAGAAACACTTATGCTGCTACCGACATCATCGTATGATTCTGTATTTTCTCCGAATTACATGTTTACTATCTTTGTCTCTTGTTTGAAAGCAAGATTTCGCTTTGGTTATAAAAGACTGATATTTCTCTATGAAGAAGAGGGTGAATGCCGGATATGAAAGGAGACTGCAAAGACCTACATGATAGATTACCGCAAAATAGCATATTTGAGTAAAGCTTCATTAATATACAAACAAGCTTTGAGTAAACTGGATATTTTTTCAAGAAAAAAAGAAGAATCTACTTTGATAGATACACTTACGAATGACATTTAATAAAGCTCTTGATCTATTTACTTTGTTTAGTGTGATATTGTTGAAGGATAATAGCTTAACTTCGGAAATATAAGCATACGCCAATGTGGAATAAGTCTTTTTGTGAAAAGAGAGAGATTCATGGAAGAGGAAATTGATCTTTATATGCAAGAACAAATACTGTCAGCCAAATTACATCTTAAACTGTATTAATATGATGCGCCATCAACTACTACTGACTAAAGATGCCATGAATCAGTGTCGTGGGCTTAATACGATGTATTGTGTTAATATCGAATAGAAAAGATGACTTTGGCTTATGTACGAAATATATTGACTATATGTGAAAGGGCGTAATCTTCCTCGAAATAAAAGTAGAAATATGATATTTAGGCTTTTAAACGAACCTTGAAGGGTTCAGGGTTTATTAACCCACATTATGGCAGTAACCATGCCAACGAGTCAGCATACTGCACGTTTATAGGGAAATTAGACAAGCCAGAAAGTAAAGTGCTGCCTTCAAATCCGGCTGGAAGGCTATTATAGAGATCTTCAAAAACGCCAGTAGTTGACGGCGTACTTGTCTCGGTAGGCACAGCATTGAGAAAGAGATCAGAATAATTGGTCGCATATGGTGGCGAGCAACTATCGAATGTATCAAGATGGTTACCATTCCTTTTGAATCTACAAGTTGGGCAGCAACGAACAAAACGAGCAATCAGTTCCTTGGGGATCCATGAAAAACTACCTTTGACCTAAAAAAAAAAAAAATGAAAATTTAGTCTTATAATCCTCCGAAGAACTAGCAAATAACCTACAATAGCGGATGTCTTGTCTCTGCCGCCATGATTCGCGATTTTATGAGCATCTAATAGAATCTCATAGATAGTTTCCTTGATAGCTACTGGTTTCCCATTATGGCAGACGACTTTAGTTTCTCCAGCAGAAAGTTCAAACATCTTCTTTGCCCAGTACCTGAATTGAGCTGTCGATATTGCTGTATTACTTGGATTTTTCAAAATTTCCTCTATACTCCTGTAGCGATCAAAATCAATAAGTGCCTTATCTCTTTTCTTTGCATGAAGCTTGTCCAAGTAATCCTGCATGGTGACTTGAAAATCAGACATTGTAGTGAAGCCATAATCATCCTCTTTAGGAGGATTGGATAAACTTTCAAATAATGAGATCGGAGGAAGATTGTTGCAAGTGTTGAAATCATTGAAAACATAAGCCTGCATTTTAGTAACCAAAAAAGCTTGAAGAAGAAGAGTAAAGGAGAGTGGAGAAAAATAGAAAAGTGTGCTCTTTAAATATGTAAGAATCAACAGGTATGCATTAACAATTCCTCATGATCCTTGTATCCTCGGCTTTTTTAAATAAGATCAATTGCATACTGTTTTCTTTCTTATCTACTGGAGAAATACATTGTTGGTAGAGATCTATGTCACAGGCAAATCAACCTTCGTACATATTAAAATATCCGGAAATAAAAAGAGTTATTTCCAAGGATCTGGATTGATAAGCACAGGGTAGGCTAACAGATCAAGTTAAAATATGAGTTGCTTAATCTTGGTGCCCTTTCGATGGTCTTCTTATTTGGTATGTATGCATTGTAAATTACATTGTATGTCATTTGGTATTCTTTGGTTCGTGTAAAGGTCGTGTCAATTAATATCTATTGTTGCAACATATGTCGTCATTGGCAGAAATGGTCGAACTTCTGTTTAAATAGTTGCAATTTCAACTTTTGTTATCTATTGTATGCATACGCATTTGCTGCTCCAATTGATCAAGTTGCATTGTAAAAAAAAAAAGTATACGTTCTGTATTTGCTATATGCTATGAATTAAAGACAAGTATCAAAAAAATTGACTCAGGATATGCTCATTCTGTTTGCGAAATTTAATGATGTCCTTATTCAGACAAAGGTTTCATTTTCATATTTATACGACATACATTTGAAAGTAACTTTCAAGTTCCTGAGCGTTGAAGGAACAGAAACCGGGCAGTAATCCTACCTTATTGAATAATATGATATAGACCAATATTAATAAGTGGAGCATTAATTACCCCACGATACCTCTGTTAGTTTGTCATGCATTCATTATAATTCCTATCTACCATTACATCTATTAATACCATGTCGTCTTAAACAAAATTAGACCTACGAAGATTGTGTCTAGAATCATTAAAAATGTCCTGCAGTGAGTAGCATAATTTTGACAATAAAGAAGCTTGCATGAATTTGCAATGTACGCGTCATATGTTCATATCAAAACCAGCAAACAATGGCTGCATGCATATCAATAGACAGTATCTTACTGCAATAAGAATATATACTAAAGAAGCATTCCAAAAGTATAGCTTGAGCTTCCTTTTTCTAAAACGTGTGCAAACACACGCGTTATGCTGCCTTGTGTATAATTCGCCGATCATGGCCATCGAATGATTTTTCACGTCTGCTTCTGGAATGTAATGTCTTGTTGCACACATGTAACTTTAAACCTGCTACACCTAATGTTGCACTCTCTCTCTCCGATCATAGTCCTCAATGTTATTGAATTACTGTTGAAAGTGCTACAATTTTTTACGAGGTATACCTTAACATAGTTTTAATGCTTTACTTTAAATATTAAAAAACAAACTGATAAAACAGAACACAGTAGAAAGTCTGTTCCTTGTCACATTCTTTGATAAAAGATATATCCGATTGTATTACATACGTTATTGGGGTAACCCTGCAAAGCACTAAAAAGATGTGTACATCTTGTCCAACTGACAACAATAACATTTATATTTAGTGTTTCATAAATAAAGCAAGTTATTGTTGTCGGATAATTACTAGAATGACATGGAAACTTCAGCTCCATCTTTTACAATGATAAAGTTGTTGTCAATGAGCATCCCTATAGCAACTGAAAACACGCTTTACTTTATCCATTTTCTTTGGCTCATATGGCTGAAAAACAAAATTTGTTTAAAACCATCTATATGAAAAACACAGCGATTTTCCGTGTCTTATTCAACACCGAGCCACGGTTCTTCATTTAAGTGAAATTCAAAACACTGTTGAAATGAACATTGTACATTTATTTGAAAGAAGTTGACTTGCGTAGAGATATCACAGCTTTATGATACAGAGTTATGCGTGCTTTGACATTTACAGGGTATTCGTTTCGTTATTGTTGTTTACATGATATAAGGAATGGGTCATCTTTAAGTGTGTGTCTGGAAATTGTATTAAATCAAGCATGTACATTTCAATATAAGAGTCGATAGCTGGACTTTGACATCTATTATATATGTGTTAATTCAATCAACGTAGATCATGTCTATCTTACTCTTTATGTAAAAACAATTGATTTCTCAGATAAACAAATTCTTCCTTTAGTTGTCGTATCTCTTGTTGACGCCTTTTATTTTCACTTGTTAATGATTCTGCTCTTCTTTCAAGCTGGTTTATCCATTCCTTTTTTCGTTGCCTACATTTATGAGCTATTTTTATCTGTATAAATGCGACTGTATCAATAATTAACCAATTTTCTAACCTGCAATTCTATTTCTTTCTAGGTTTCTTTTTCTTGTTGCCTCTTCGTCTTCTTCATCGCTTTCATGACTCGTCGGCCATGTCTTGTCCACCAATGATTCGTCTCTTGATACAATCAGCCGTACTCCCTCTTGATCTGACTTGATTCTTTTGTTCTGATGATGTTCAGATGGCTCCTGCAAGAAATAACTAGACACGTCCTCTGCTTTTCTTTTTGTGCTATAAAGAAGCTGTTGATCAAAACAGGGCTCAATTGAACTTGTTAGGCTTGGAGGCATCATGTTTTGTCGATTCATAAATACAAGAAAATACACAAGCAAAAAGAAAAGAAAAAAAGAAAGAAAAAAAGCAAACAATCGTAAACCAGTTTGTTTATCCACACTGTTTCCCTTGATCCTCCCCCATTGTGTACGATATGCGTAGTTTACAATTCAGTCGCCGACCAGTTTCAACACATGCAATTTGGCATGTTCTGCGTTTCTAGTCATGTGGTAAAAACACCTCTGCAAAAGAAAGAAAAAAAACAGTGTTTATTATTAAAAGAAATTAATTGTTTTCTTCGGGCTTCATGGCAGGGAATAAGAGAACTTCCTTGATATTATTTGAGTTGGTTAAGAACATGGCAAGACGATCAATACCCATACCCCAACCACCAGTGGGAGGAAGACCGAATTCCAGTGCCTGACAGAAGCTTTCATCAATCAATTGAGCTTCATCATCGCCGGCTTCCTTATCTTGTGCTTGTTGTGCGAAACGTTCACGTTGATCGAAAGGATCGTTCAATTCTGTGTAAGCGTTACAGAGTTCCTTGGTAGCAACAAACAGTTCGAAACGTTCACAAAGACCAGCACGATCACGGTGCTTCTTGGCCAAGGGAGACATCATTTGTGGGTGACCAGTGATAAAGGTGGGTGAGATACAGTCAACTTCGAGGTATTCACCAACCAACTTGTCTAATAAACGGGCATTTGTACGAGGCTCAGAACAATCAAGCTTGTTCTTAATACAGAGATCTGACAGGAACTTGTTAGCTTCTGCTGTATGAAGTTGATCACCAGGAGGGAACTTGACATTTAACTTTTCTTCTAATGTTTGAATCATATCAAGGCGCTTGAATGGAGGACTAAAGTCAATGTTCATGACGGGCCCTTCGGGTCCATGAGGATGATATTCAACTTGGTACTTGCCAAAGATACTCTTGACTAAACCTGAAACGAGTTCTTCAGTCATGTCCATGAGATCGTACATATCAGCATAAGCCATATAAAATTCACAGGATGTAAATTCGGGGTTGTGGGTCATGTCAATAGATTCATTACGGAATTGACGGCCAATTTCATAGACACGATCGAGGCCACCTACGACCAACATCTTCAAATATAATTCAGGAGCAACACGCATGTACATGTCCAACTTCAAGTCATTGTGATGAGTGACGAAAGGTCTGGCAGTAGCACCACCAGCAATTCTGTTCATCATGGGTGTTTCTACTTCAAGGAAACCGCGTTGATCCAAGAAGGAACGAAGGTAAGTGATGGCCTTGGCACGAATATAAAACTTGTCACGGACAAAGCCGTTCATGATTAAATCGAGGTAACGCTGGCGATATCTAAGTTCCAAATCCTTAAAGCCATAGTTGGCCTTGGGCAACATACGAAGACAAGGAGACAACAGTTGAACCTTCTTGGGGAAGATGGACAATTCACCACGCTTAGTCTTACCGGGAACACCAGTAATACCGATGATATCACCACGTCTAAGGAGATCATGAATATGAGCATAGTCATCACCTTCATTATCTTGAAGAGCAGCCATGACTTGGATCTTAACACCATCACCGTGCAAGTCATAGAACCTTAGCTTGGCACCAGAAGCACGCTTGTTGTGGATACGACCGGCAACAGAGATAACTTGATCGTCAAGACGTTCACCAACTTCAAGCTTGTTGTACTTTTCAATGAATTCAGGAAGACTCAATGTGACTTGGAACTTGTGAGGATATGGGTTAGGATTAAGCTCGTCACGAAGCTTGTTGACAACTTTGGAACGTAATTCAAAGTATTGCTAAAAGCCCAGAGAAATGAGAGAGGGTTTATACCATGTTTTGTATATATATATATTTTGATCTTACGTTAGGGTTCAATTCCTCTTCACCTTCTTCAGCGCTCTTTTCCTTGGGAGCAGCTTCCTTGGCAGGAGCAGCAGCAGCCTTTGCAGCCTTTGCAGCTTCCTTTGCACGGAGCTTTTCACGTCTCTTGAACTCGCTGTACAAAAAAGTAAAATTATCAATCATTGATGTGGGAAAACCATTCGACGAACAAGAACTAGAATACATACGACTTGGAAATCATTTCTCCAGTAACAGGGTCCTTTTGGAGATTCTTTTGGTCAACAGGTTCTGACATTGTCTTTTTTTGTTTTGAAAAAAGAAGGAAAGCAGGAAAAACGCTCACAAAAAATTTTTTTAAATAGCCGACGGAAGTCAAAAAATTAAGGGGAGGGGGTTTTTCTTTTGGGTAATCAAGATCATCTAAAAAAATTGTGCTTTATTGTTGCCGCAGTGACCGAGACACTTCGTCCAGGAGGTCCCAAACACACTCTTCAGCCATATATTCATCGTATCGTTGAGAAATAGGTTTCCAATTTTCTTCTTGATCCGTAGGTGGATACTGAAACTGAGGGCCAAAGTTACAGGTGACTACACCACCTTTGAACACGCTGATGGCTGGATAGTAGCCCAATGTACCATCATCTTCAATCGGAGGGTCTTCTGTCCAGAGCTTGTGCTCTGTTGGATTATCTTCATTTTGACCGTTATTCTTTAACTTTCTTCTCTTTTTAGCTCTTTTAGCCACCATTGCTTGCGGTAAGCGTCCAAAATCTTCAAAGTCAAACAAGTCAGTAAACATGACGCCTTGATTGACACCGTTCTTGTAAATGGTTATATATGATCCCTTGAGTATTTTTGGCTCGTAAGTATCTTCTTCTTTCCTATAAGGGTCTGCCAAGGCTTCCATCTCTTTGCTAGGTCGGAAATCCTTCTCTTCAAACCACAAATGCTCTTTATATGCAATAGGAATACGTCTTCTTGAAGCACTTTTGAAGTGATCTTTATTTTTAGGCGGCAAGGAGATATACAATCCAATCACATCGCCTGTCTGGAAGGATTCTCCATATTTTTCTGGTCTTGAGCAAAACACCTTGTCACCTGTTCGATCACGATATCCGTAGCTGTAACCGTCATAACCGACAGGCGCATTGAGACATGCTGAGAAAGAATGAGTCATGTCTCTCCCTTCCTTTTGAACGTAGCTTACCTTCTCGTCTAGCCCAACCAATGCGCACATGAGGTCCATCCGTGCAGGAGGGACCAGCAGCATTTTGAATGACAGCCTCCCAAAACCAATTTCCTTCTTTTACACCTACATTAGCTCTGCACATGCGAAAACCTTTATCGGTTGTCACCGTCAGACCATCTTTGCTTACAGACACGTAGGGGCTTTTATCAGGTACGCTGATTGTGCAGCCACCTTCATTTTCGGCTTGCTGGTAGCCAACAAGCTTCAGAATGGACGGTTCACAAGGTATATATTTAAATCCAAATCGATTAAATGGATGATCTGCATTTGCTGTACCAGGTGGAAACATAACCGGTAATGGGTTGGAGGTATAAGGCACGGGTGAATTGGACTGTGATGAACTAGCTGTATGGACGGGTGGTGACGCGCTTGATTTGTTTTCTGCTGTCGTTGTTGTTGTTGTTGTTGACTTGGATGGCTCTTTACGCTTTTCCTTTCTGGATGATGAAGAAGGTGCCTTATTACCATGCTAATATCTGTCAGTACACATTATCTAACAGTGGCCCAAAAGTTACCTGGGAACCATTGGGTCTTATATTCCACAAATTAGGATCCGCTAATCTAAAATCGGAGCCTGCAGATCTTTCTTTCTCGTCTTGAGCAATAAACGTATCCTTGGAAGAATAAAGACAGCTACCCAACGTAGCCCACCTAAAATAAAATAAGACACACATATCGATACATGAAAAGCTATTATTTACCAGGTCGATGTCCTTGATCTTTCTGTGCATAAACTGGCCCAATGCTTATCCACAAATGGAATAATTTCCTTTTTATTGAAATAATACTCTTCTGGACGCCATTCTTGCATCAATGTCGCATTTCGACCGTCAAATAGTTCTCGATGATCAATACCCACGCGACACACAATTTCTTCCAAGATCAAATTAGCAATTGTCGTCGAACAGATCTCCTTCCAGCCTGCTGTTGTTCTCTCAAAGGTTTCTACGTGACTCTCGTTACAGTTACGACATACAAATGTGTAATTGGTAGTAAATAGAATGTTGGGTGGGTTAGCAACCGTAGTGCATTCGACATGAAACCAATTTTTACAAACTAGAGAAAAAATTAGATGCACATTATACATTATGAAATAGAAAGCTTACAGCGACATTGAAGTGACACTTGTAACAGGTTTCTATCTTTCCCACAATAACAATATTTATTCTGTGAATTGAGTGTATGAGTGTCGTTCCATACAAGATCACTATTTGTCATGGTGAAAGCAAAGAAAGAATAATAAAATAGACAATGTGACTTTTCTTTCTCTCTTTCTCTCTCTTTTTTATATTATAAAATGGGTAAAGCAAAAAGGGATCAACAAAAGAAGACAACACCTTATAGTCGACCAACAGCAATAAAGAAGAAGCCAATAACAAAAGCAGAAAAGCTAAAGAATAAGAGTATAACTGAAGATCTTGACAAGAATATTGATGAATTGACTCAGCAACTAAAACCGAAAAAGAAGAAGCAGATTCAAATTCGTAATGATGACATGGACAATGTAAGTTGTATTAGAAAGAATGTCAAGAATAGAATAATAATATGATAAACAGGATGAGAAAATAGAAAGACAACAGCTTGAATATGAAAAGACACAAAATGATTTAGATGACGCTCTTAGTCTCTTGACTAGGCTGTAGTAATAATATTAAGAATAATAAAGGAGCAGAAGATATGATTTATTTTCTTTTTTATTTTCATGTAAAAAGAGAAATGATATATTTTGAGACAAAAGAAAGAGAGAAAGATAAGAAAAAAAAATTAATGGGCGTATCATGTTTAGAAACACTTTCTGTGGACAATGGAAGGACCAGATTCGTCGTATTCTTGCTTTGAGATCCACATTTGTTGGAAGGTAGAAAGAGAAGCCAAGATGGAACCACCAATCCAGACAGAGTATTTTCTTTCGGGAGGAGCAACAATCTTGATCTTCATGGAAGAAGGTGCAAGAGCAGTAATTTCCTTTTGCATACGGTCAGCAATACCAGGATACATGGTAGTACCACCAGACTATTTAAAGATAAGTAAACATTCTTTTTCCCATCAAAAATATAAACATACCATGACAATGTTGGAGTACAAGTCCTTACGGATATCAACATCACACTTCATGATAGAGTTGTAAGTGGTTTCGTGAATACCAACAGATTCATGACCCAAGAGGGCAGGTTGGAAGAGAGCTTCGGGAGCACGGAAACTATATAAGCGTATAAATAATAAACTCAATAAAAAGTTTGTGACAACTTACCGTTCATTACCAACAGTAATGACTTGACCATCAGGAAGCTCATAAGACTTTTCAAGGGCAGAGGATTGAGCAGCAGTTTGCATTTCTTGTTCAAAGTCAAGAGCAACATAACAGAGCTTTTCCTTGATGTCACGAACGATTTCACGTTCGGCAGTGGTAGTGAAAGCATGACCACGTTCAGCAAGGATACGCATCAAGTAGTCAGTCAAGTCACGACCAGCCATATCCAAACGCAAGATGGCGTGAGGAAGGGCATAACCTTCGTAGATGGGGACAGTGTGGGTAACACCATCACCAGAGTCAAGAACAATACCAGTGGTACGACCGGAGGCATATAAAGAAAGAACAGCTTGAATAGCAACATAGAAAGCAGGAGCATTGAAGGTTTCAAACATGATTTGAGTCATCTTCTCACGGTTGGATTTAGGATTCAAAGGAGCTTCAGTCAAAAGAACAGGGTGTTCCTCGGGGGCAACACGAAGTTCGTTATAGAAGGTGTGGTGCCAGATCTTTTCCATATCATCCCAGTTGGTAACAATACCGTGTTCGATAGGATAACGAAGAGTCAAGATACCTCTCTTGGATTGGGCTTCGTCACCGACGTAAGAATCCTTTTGACCCATACCAACCATAACACCTTGGTGACGAGGACGACCAACAATAGAGGGGAAGACCTAAAATGCTCAGATGAGTCAATGGACACGACATCTCATCTTGTAAAACTTACAGCACGAGGTGCGTCATCACCAGCGAAACCGGCCTTACACATACCGGAACCGTTATCAATAACAAGCTACATAAAGTTAGAAACAGTAAAGACTAGTAAATAAAGTAACTTACAGCAGCAACTTCGTCCTCCATCTTAAAGATTAAACTTGAATAAAAGTAAAGAAGAAAAAGAAAAAGAAAAAAAGGGCGGGTGAGGGGAGACTATAAAAAAGAAAAAAAAAGAACCCAACTCCGTGACGCAGACACGTTCTGTTTGACATGATTGGTTGCTCTGCGAATTAATTTCTCAAAATAAACTCAGAAATCCTTTTTTATATTTATTCTTGGCTCAGCTGTAAAGCAAAAAAAGAAAAAAAAAAAAAGAAGCCAAAACAGATGTAGCCAAGCATTTATGATACATTCAAAAGGAAAAAAGAGAAGGGGAGATATGTACACCACTTCTTGGCCTCTAGTTCCCCTTTTCTATATCTACAACTCTCTCTCCCCCCTAACCTGTCTCCATCTCACCTTTAGTTGCACCCCCCCTTCTCCTGACAGTTTGTTCACTACTCTTTCTCCTTTATTCTTTTTTTTTGTGTAGTATGTTAAAAAAGGTAATGAATCGATTTTAGAAGGTTGAACATAATGCATTTGAATGGTAAGTGCACCAACGCGTTGTTTCTTTCCTTTCTCGTGATCAAAAATAAAAAACGGGAAAAGTGAAGCGGAATGTAAAATGCAAGATCGTCATTTCTCTCTTCCAACAAGAACTCTAAATGAAGTTTTAATTACGTCAAACAGGTTACCATGGATACCATGAACAGATCGTTTTATTTTCATGTCAACTATCAATAGATGAGTGATTAAATGCCATTGAGTTTTGTAAAGATAGCAAAAATAACTTACAGATAACGCGTATTAGGCTGTAGCTTGACCTGAAATATGAAAAAGTGTGCCCTTTAACTTAAATTCTTTTCATGTTTTCATTCTGCTAGGGGAGAGTAAGGATTGTGTGTTCAACTTGGCATTCATGTGTAAGTGAAAAGGATTATCTCCATTTGATCATTTGTCTTGGCTGACGTGTACTCTTTTTTAAGGGTAAAAGGAATGATTTTTTATTTATTTGGGTCTAGAATAGTTGAAAATAAAATAAATAGCAGAATTGCAAAAAGGTAGTAAAATATGGTAGCTCTTCATCACAGTGTTATCTTTGTTTGTCTGTTGATATCTGAAGGGGAGCCTAATAAAGCATGAGGCTGTGCAACTTTATTCTAAAAGGTGAGCACATTTTTTTAATAAAAAGAAGATATTTTACTCTACCCTAATTAGTATAGTCTCGGCACCTTATTTTCTTTATGCCTTGTTGTATATATAGAATGTGTGTAGATCATACTCATCATCATGGGGACAGGCAGGAAATGTTTGGGCTGTCATCCTTTCTCTCTCTCTCTCTCTCAATGGGCTTTTTATTCTCCTCTTGTGAACTACAACCATAATTCTATTTTCTACATCATTTATACTTACGGTTTCACTATGAATTTACTTGTTTCCGTATTTTATCTTGTGTAAACAAATGTGTACGAGGAGTACGTTTACACTTTATTCACAAATTATTCGCACACTGATAAAAAATGAGAATTTCAGACAACAAATAGGACAACAAATAATAATAAAAGAGAGCCCATCAGAGGCAAAAGAATGAATAAAAAAAATGACTATCTAATCAGTTATTTACACTGATATTAAATACTTACATTATAAAGAAGAGGATTTATAAGAGAAAAAAAGCGAGTAAAATTATAGAGATTGTTAAGATCTTACCCGGAAGTGCATTAAATAGGGCTGACGATAACCAGCCCGGAGAAAGAAGAGAAAAAAAAAAGAAAAGAAAAAAGAAAAGAGAAACCAAGAGGGTGAGCAAGAGAGAGCGGATGAGACCAAAGTTTGGTAAAAACCAAACTACCCCCAGCTAGCACCGGTACTGGTTTCGATTTTATGATATATAATACTACATGTCAGTTTCTTACAAGAGTAAAGAATACAACATACCTTAGGGCTAGCTGGGGAATAACTAGTCTTTCTTTTTGGTCCAAAAAAAAAGAAAAAGAAGATCAGACTATTTAAACAAAGTCTCTAACAACTTTTTCAGTTACATGTTGTTCATAAGTGTTAACTACATTTATTTTATGTATCTCTCAAAAAGACAGAATTCATTGCCTTTTTATTAATAAAGAAAGCGTTGATAATCAACTAAAGTGTAATTGTTATTAATCCTGTAATGTGCGAATAATTTCTGAAAAAAGTCTATATAGTTTTTTTTTTATTAAAGCCAATGATGCATTGCCTCCTCTTCTTACTAAAAGGTTTATAATTATGATATTGTTGTCATTTACAGAAAGCAATGGTTACATTCTATGATCTAACTCGTAGTTTGTCATAGAGAGAAGCTACTTTTCAAATAATAAAGAACAAAGGTATCAGTTTATTTAATGACAAGGTTGATATATAAGTCATTGCTGTGATCTAACAAAAACAACAACAGCATTATAAAGAGAGAGAGCAAAATGACAGTCCACCAATGCAGTCACCCAATGTGCCTGACATTTGTTCACTCGCTCTTTTTTCTGTCTGGTGGAAAGAAAACATTTTTTTTTTTCTTGTTTAAAAAAAAGAATTTAATGGCTATTGAAGAAAGAAACGATTATTTAGATAGCAAACTTCACATAGAAAATAGATACGATTCTTTATTGGCACTGATTGATACTATTTATCCACCACAATTTTGTACTCTATGTGATTATCTATTTGATTCACCTCACGACTTCAAACTTCATTTTAAAGAAAAACATAAGAAGCAACCTCGTTATCTATGTATTCACCCACATTGTGATCAAAGATTTATATCAAAAGGTGCTTTACGATTTCATATTTCCCGTTCTCACTTGGTCATTAATGCACCAAAACAAGAACTTTTAATTTATCATCATCTTTCATCCACTGCATCATCCCCAGCTACATCACCCACCCATTCGACTACACCTCCACCATCCTTTGCTTTTTTACCATCTTCCGCTTCTACCATATCCATATCATCCACCACGACTTCATCACCGCCTTTAATATCAAAAAAGAATAGAAAGAAACAAGAAAAGAAAATACTGCTGCTAGATGATGATCTATCAACACCTTCTCCTCCTCCTTCACCATTTTCTTTATATAATAGTAACAAAAAATTATCTAAAAAACCCACATTATCACCTGCTGCCGAATCGTTTCTCAACTCCATTTATCCACCTACTCAATGTCCAGCATGCATGAAAACATTCAATAGAAAAACAAATGTCATCAAACATTTAACTCAGGCTCATGCTGGAGAAGAGCCTTATCGGTGCATCTATCCCAAATGCACTCATCCTAGACTATACGCCACAAGGGAAGGATTGGTTTATCATATTGTACGTGTTCATGATGAACAATAAAAAAAATTTTTTTTTATTATTATGCCATCCATTTCAAGCATCTTGTTTCGCTATGGGTTGATAAACATTTAGTGGAGCAGTATTTCATTCCACATCTCAAGCATTTATAGTCACTAGGATATCCACACACTGAACAAAACTTTCTTGCTGGGTATATCGAAGGTGAAACAAGACAGGTTTGATAACAGTGCGCTGTCACTGGCTACACACATATAAATATATTATGCATTGTAAGCTAGTGTTTGTTTGTTTTTCTTACGCTTTCTTCTAATAAGGCGTTCAAGTTTGTCTTGGAAGCATACATGTTGGTACCTCGCCTATTTCTTGACTTGCGTGTTCCAAGACCTAGGTTGAATTAGAAAAAACCGATTAGGCGACATTTCATACCTTCTTCTTCTTGAGCAGCCAAAGCAATATTGATCAATCCTTCTACATCATTTAAAGATTGATGATTGTCTTTTTCTAAGGATTCCAACTGTCGTCTCAAATGTCTCGAATGTACTTCAGGATCATGAATCAATTTGACTCTTTTTGACATTCACGGCAAAAGTAAAAAAAAAAGTAAGCCTTTTT